CATTGAAGAACCTTGGTTTGATGTTAATCGCTTTCAGTTGCGCCGCCGCCTAGAAGTGCTTTCGTGCAATGAAATAACCACTTTCGTATTGTTTGCATCAATGAATAGCTTCAACCGGTCGTACATGTTTGAAGCTATTTGCACAAAATAATTTCACGACTGCTCTTCTTGTATGGGCCACGACATCAGTGTAACACACATTATCTTTAGCCTGTGTAGGAATTTTTTCATTATGGTTTTTATTTCATCTAAACCATCATGAAAAAACTCAGTAATAATATGCTCAGATAGTGTTGTGTAACTAACATCGGCATTAGAAAAAAGTACCACATTTGGAAATGAAGAGTATTTGACTTAGTTGTCAACATTGGTCAATACAACATTCCAATGAACAAGAACTATTATGTTCTGCTCACTTGAGAGTCTTATTTGTATAGTGACTAGTGAGTGATAGAAATGACAGTTCTAAGTGATAGAAATGAGAGATGTGAATGATAGGAGTTAGAGGTGGGTAAAATAAATGACTTTGTTTGGTAGATGAGGTTATTGAGGTGATTGAAAATAATGATGTTAGTTGTGGAGTAAGTGGGGGTAGGCGTTTAGAGATATTTTATCTGATCGGAAATATTTTTATCTGATAAAGTGTTTTTATTGAAGTAGTTGAAAATAGTGGCGTTAGTTGCGAAGTAGGTGGATAGGTATTGAGAGATATTTTATTTGATCAGGAATATTTTTATCTGAATATTTTATTCAGAGACATGATTGAGGTGATTAATAATTTTTTGATCAGTAATAGATTTTATATATAGAAATATAATAGATTTAATTTATAGCTACGTTGTTACTACCTCCGCCCCCTAAAATACTTTACATGGTACTGTGAAATGTTTTAAAAAAGTGCCCTAAAGTTTACATTAAATAATCAAATCAAACGGTGTCAACGTTTTACGTCCCTCCACTTCGCATCCAAAGTAATTATTTTACATCCTACCAAACATGCTTTAACATTTGTGTTATTATTTGCGGTTGGTGTTTTTGATTAATTTTATTTGAAAATAGCTTGTTAAGTATAAAAGGACAATGAAATTCTTTCACGTTCGGGCTTTAACTGGCACAACCCGAACCCGAGCTCCCAAAAACCTGACTCGGACCGAATATAATGGGCTTTGTTCTGGTATCTAATTTTCAAAACCCGAGACCTTATAGATAAAGTCTGAAGGTCTTCTTGACGAGACGTACCTCCTAGTATTTTTCTTTTAATGTTTCACAAACTTTTGAAAATCGGAGTTAATTTTTCTAACGGCGTTAGACGCCGTGGCCCAACTGTGATAACGGAATTGAAACACATGTCCCACTTTGTTAAAGTACGATGCATGTTGTAGATTCAATATTTAAGGGAGATTATTCGCCGATTATGAATCAGAGACGATCCAGGTGACATCATTACACACGATGTAGAGTGTCTCACACGACTCGGTGCAAAAGAAACGATTGATCATGACATCATCACATATGAAGCTACATATGTTGATCCTCCTGGTGATCATCATCTCACATGCCCCGATCGTAGAAGAGACACTCCCACACACAGAAGGTGGTTTGGCCAGGGTTATGTTTAGCCACATCAAAGGATGGGGGATGATGACACACCTCATGATGCACAATTTCATTCTCATTCCACACAACCCAGTTCATACCATCCATCTCTAGTGCATGTTGGGTTATCTACTCGACAAGTACTCGGTGAGTACTCACAACTCGGTCCTTTACCTTGCCGATTGGCACCTTAACTCGGCCCGAGTTAATTTTCCGAGTTACTCGTCGAGTACTTGGAGAGTTAGACAACTCGGTCAACATCTCAAATAGGCGAGTTACTGGCTTTTACTTGGTATATTAAAAAAAATCTGCGATTACAAAACCTAAAATTTTACCGCTACTAGACATCATTTGGAGCTGCGATTGTTGCTGCTACATCGTTTGGAGCTGCAACTGCTGCGACATCGGTTGGACCTGCGACTGCTGCTGCGAGGAGCTACACTGCTACTGCGACATTAGTTGCACATGCGAGTTATGATCCTATATTCTTAAGGGAAGCTGATGAAAATGATGATCGAGTTGTTCCAGATGATGAAGCGCTTCCACACCTTGTTAATTAAGGTGATGATCTGACTTAGGAACAAGTACGAGCAGCACAACAAGCCACTGAGGGACGGACAAACACAAGGAGTCAAAACACAAGGGAGAATGTGAATGCATCACAATTAGATGACTGCTTCATACTGATTTAGATGACCTGGAAGTGAAAGAGGAAGAACAAGTGGGGAATCTGACTGCTGAAGATCTATTTGGAGAAGATCTATTTGGGGACAAGGAGGATGAACAAGAAAATCATAACCTTGAACCCAACGAAGATTAATATCAAACCAACTTATTAGATGATTGATTTTCTTGAAAACTTAGAATGTTTATGACTTTTGCTACTCCATCATTAGGATAATAGGATTTCCATCTTTTTATTCATTTCTATGCATTTTAAGGCAATTTAAAGACTATATTAAGATTACTATATTTCTATAATCTCGAGCACCTATATTATTATATTTAATTAATACAGAGTCAAGTAATCACCGAGTAATCCCGAGTAATCGGTCCTACTCTCTACTCGGCCCTTGACCGAGTTACTACCGAGTAGCGAGTTAACTACCTAGAGTGCATAAGCCATATGTGTACTCCACACCCATTGGTCCATACATTCTTATGTTCAGTGACACTTCATTGCCAAACGTCCAAGCTAGTCACCATCAAACATATGATCCTCAACCTAGTTTTGTCCATTTATTGGTGGATTGGATGATCGACTTATTTGGGTACGAGATGGTAGAGACGACAGGACCGATCACACAACCTACGGTTGAAGTTAGGGTGAGACGGCAGACTCGCAATCGACATCGTGAAACTGAAAGTCACTACATCATGCCTAGTCGGGAGCAAGATTCAGACGAATCGGGGTAGTTTTTTTAACAACGAATCAGGGTAGTTTTTTTACAACAAATCAGAGTAGTTATGAATTGTAATAAATTATAACATTGTAGCTATACATTAAATCTATTATATGTTATATATTAAATTAATTGTTGAACAAAAATTTATTAATCACCTCAATAATGTCTCTGATAAGATAAAAAAAGACACTTTATCAAATAAAAATATTTTCGATGAATACCTACCCACCAACTTCGCAACTAACGTCGTTATTTTCAACTACCTCAATAATGTCACTGGTCAGATCAAGAAACACTTTATCAGATAAAAAAAATTGATCAGATAAATATATTTGAACACCTACTCCGCAACTAACCTCATTATTTTCAACCACCTCAATGACCTCATCAACCAAAAAATGTCATTTATTTTACCCACCTCTAACACTCACTATAAAAGCAACACTTCTCACATTCATTCTTATCACTCACATCTCTCATTTTTACGGTAATTGGGAGACATCGTACAACGATCTCCCAAAACTCTTACAAGCAATGGTATATACTAACCCAGGGAGCATAATTGATCTTCAAAGTGATAACACCAACACCCAAGGTACATATGAATTTACATTTGCATTTTAGTCTATAAAAGTGGCGATTAATGGGTTCAATCAGTGCCTTCCGGTGGTGTCCATTGATGGAACTCACTTGTACGAAAACTACAAGGATCATCTCCTAGTCGTGGTGGCAATGAATGCCAACCGTGAAATCTACCCTCTAGCATTTGGTGTGGTAGGTAGTGAGAATGGTGCTAGGTGGACGTAAATCATACCATTACTTGCGACACAAATCATAGGGCCGCATCGGAATGTTTGCATGGACAACAATTGGCATGTGGCTATAGACTGTGCATTTCGAAATGTGCCAGAATTGGGAACACCTCGAATTCAGAGACGTTATTGTCTTCGCCACATTAGAAGTAATTTCATGTCCCAATTTAGAAGTAAACAACTACAGAAGTCGTGTTGGTGAGCAGGAAGTACCCCAATTGTAATTGTAAGTGAATTTTACCATTTCATGCAACAAATTCGGGGTATAATCGAAAGACCACTCAAATACTTTTATGACATTCCCAAAGAAAAGTGGACACTTTGTTTTGATGGTGATTGTCGTTATGGTATTTTAACAACAAATCTTTCAGAAAGTTTCAACAATGCTCTCAAAGGATGTAGAACATTGCCAATCATTTCCCTTGTACGAGCGACTTTTGAGATAAGTGTAATCCGAAATACCCATTTGCAATACTTTATTCGAATAGGTGTACTTACCGGCGGCAATCTAAAAAGGCAAAAACTTATATATATATATATATATATATATATATATATATATATATATATATATATATATATATGTGTGTGTGTGTGTGTGTGTGTGTGTGTGTGTGTGTGTGTGTGTGTGTGTGTGTGTGTGTGTAGAGAGAGAGATATAATATATTATCAAGGCTATTAGCTCAAATGGTAGAGCAATGTGCAAATATGCACAAAGACGCGGGTTCGAGTCCTGCATAGCCTATGTACTTTTGCAGCTGCTAATTTTTTCTTGCCTTTTCCTTCTTTTTCTTTTTCCCACATTATTCGCTTGTTTTTTTCCTCTTATGTTGTATCCACATACTTCTTTTCTTACCCTTTTTAAAAGCTTGTTGTGTGCACTATAATTCTATCATTTTTTTATACTAAGCTATATAGTGACAGTCCTGAAATCCTGCAGCAGATAGGCAAAAGAGCCTGTCTTTTAGCAACACGAGCACAACTACGTGTTTGCCGAACGCCCGTTCATGCCAACTTTGAGCGCCTCAGACTCAACACATCACACATGACACCATCTTAGCTACCATCTTAAACAAATGAGTCTGTTTCACCAAATCTCCAACCTCTAGTAACTAGCCTGCTACCACTAATAGAGCTTTAATCATTACTTATAAAACTAAATGCATGACTTTTAATTCACATTAACTTAAAAGATCAAAATCAACAAAGTAATTTATTTAAAGATAAAATAGACTTTAACCAACAATCATCACAAGTTCTATCATAAGATATAGAGTACAGTTATACACTAACTACTGACTTCCAAGTCACAAATATACACTTTAAATTGAAAAAATGACATGATAGAACTTCAAAAATGAATTCAACATGCTATATTCTGTATGACTTGGATAACTCTCATGCCCAATTTCATCTTCATGCTTGCTGCTCATAGACTCATACTTGTCCTCATCTGCCAAGGTAAAAAGAGTCATTTAGCAACATACTAATAAAATTAGAACCATAACTTTTAACAAGTAATCCACAACTTCTAGCTCATATATAATGAAGATCTCAAAATCAATATGTTATTATAACAAGTGGTTATTATAAAAATAAAAAAAAACTACCTGCCAATATTATATTTAGTGTTATTATTGTTAGCTAATAAGAGAAAGTTCTAAAGTAATATTCATAACTGCTAAAAGAAAAGTAATAACTAACTCCTAAACTGAATTGAAACAAGTGACCGGTCCTCTTCTAGGAGTAGACTGAATGTTCTATTAATTTTGCATGTGTTATGTATAAAGGCCAACCCATGTTTTTTCTCAAATGCTAATGGGATGCTTCTTTTCTCATTACTTCTAATTAAATAAGCTGCACTTCTAAATATAAATGCATAACTTATAGTTCGTGCAGTAATCCAAAAAAAAAAGTGAAATTGTTGTGATTAAAAACAATTTTCAGAATACTTATGTTAGCTCGAAACAATCAGAATGCTATATAAGTGAGAGTCCTTTTATTTAAAGTAATCAAGCACTCTTTCAGATTAGCATAAACTAATAAAGCGAGAATCATAACTTATAGAAAGAAAGTAATCACTTTTAGTCTCACTTTACGTCTAATGAAATTGATACTTTAAGACTACAGAATGAATTTCAAAGATAAGGTTGTAACTTTTGAGATTTTACCAAAGCAGCAATCATATGTTGAAGATATTAACATGAAAATCATATGTTGAAGACCAAATTCACTGCTAACTTTTAAGAAACAAAATACAATTTCAACTAAATAAAATAAGGTCAAAGAGCAATAATAGAATTAGCTCAACTAGATGAAGTTAAAAGCAATCCAATCAAATTAAATCTCTATGAAGAAATATCCAATAACAAAAAAGTGAATAGGTAAACAAAAAGAACTAACAACAACAAAAACTAATAAATCTGTTTTAAATCTTACTTTCATTTACTAGAACTGATTTGTTGATTAAACCGAACTGGTGAGAACTTAAAGTTTTGTAAGCATCAATTCGAGTTGCAGCCATAAAGTCCTATGCTACTACTTGCTACTTTAAGTTATTGACATATTAATCATTCAAGCATTTCAACGAATACTTGGCAGGTATAACTTAAATTAAATCTTTCCACACTTATTTGCTACCTAAATTGTTTGACATATTAATCATTCAAGTATTTCAACGAACAGTTGGTATGTGTAACTCAAACTAAATCTTTCTACAAACAAATTCTGAAATTAGCAAATTAAAGTGGAATAAACTTCATATTGAAATGACTTCCATGAATTAGATAGAAGAAAGGATACAAGTAGCTCCACAGTACAATTTGGAGATTGGACTGATTTAATAGGGCGCTTCATATTACTCCACACACGCATTTGTATCGATATTGATTAGTTTAATCGGACGCTTGAACTATTATAGGCTTCCCACCAAATTTATTGTAATTGGCTTCCACAAATCTAGATGAAAATCTATAAGTTAGCCTAAATTGGCGACTTGAAATGCATTTAGAAATTGCATAAAAAAAGTTTAAGAATCAAGATGAAGTTTATCCAATTTTGTAAAATTACCTTTGAACATACAAGTAGAAGTTTGGAGAAGTCTTACACAACTTCGGCGCAGTTCGATTCAAATTCGGAGAAGTTCAGAGAAGTCTGACTTAATTTCAGCGGAGTCCAATTCAAGTCCGTTCAAGGCCGATTCAAGTTCTTCGAGCTGATTGCGAGAGAGATTGAAAGTTCTTCTGAAACTGCTCTACCTCGCTGGAGTTGTTGCGATTATCATCGTGGCGTGATTGAACCTCACTGGAGTTGTTGAGATTGTCATCGTTGCGCGATTGCACTTCGTAGAAGTTATTAGAAAGATGCTCTGTCACCGTTTTAGTTGCAGAGATAAGTCGTAGAAGTTCTGGCTTCTAAGCGGAAAGATAATTTCCAGAATCAAACGGATAAACATAGACTACCGAAAGGTCCATTAATAAAAATTGGCCGCCAGATTTGCGAAGATCGGACGCTCCATATTACTTCTCACTTTTCAGCCCAAGCAAGCTTCTCACCAGATCTATTCCCTATATATATATATATATATATACAAGTTCGGAGGGCTGAAATCCAAAGCTTGTCTACCAGTACCTGGCACCTCCATTTTACACTATCTCAGTAAACCAAAAAGAGAATTACACTTTTTGGAATGAAATGTTACAACTTACAAATATACACTTATCTGTCAAACACCCAAGAATTTAATCCAGACAAGCTTCTGACTTCGGACTGGCAGAATCTGAAACTGATATGATGTCAGTACTTGTTTTTGCAGCATGTTAAAGACGCTCAGCTACTCCCAACTTCGGATTAACGCCCTCCGTTCTACATTTTTTTGTCAAAGAAAAGGAATCTACATTAAGGGAAAACACCTGCACAAAATCTACCCTTTTTTGTCATTCCCTCTTCTATAGACTCTAAAACTCTAAACCTAAAGAAGATACATAGTAATCAACTATTATGTATATAATGTGAAAAATTATAAATATAGACTGCAATAATGCATTCAACATGAAGTAGACGCAAGAAACTAGATATTGATTAAGAAAAGTACACTTAAGTCAGAACTAAGGTTACCGAGTGCAAGCATCTCTTAAAAAGAATCATATTGTAATAGCACCATAATGTAAAACCCAGTGTCCCAGTCACCAATCACATGATTAAAACAATAAAATATTCCACTTCAGGATCCACAATTATTTACTTAAGTTCACTTTTGGTTCCCAGCTCATTTTCCACTTTTAGTGCACAACTACAAATTTATTGTCATTAATTGTCCTCCAAATCACATACGAGACCAATTTCTAATTGATGTTTTGCCGGATGAGTGACCACAAGAACCAAGCGGTAGATAATCCAAAGTCGCACCAAACGTGAAAATGAAATAAAGTCATGGGACCAAAATTGGAATATTTTCTTAAAAAAGCACCAAACAATTAAGTGTGAAACCACATCCAAGAGAGCTGCATATCATATGATAACAAGATAGCAAAACTAATGATCAACACAGTGTTAATATAAAGTAAACTGACCTTGCTGCTGCCAATGGAGGATCATTTTTGCCACATAGCTTGAGCTTTGATAGCAGGCCACTATTATTAGATTAGTCCAAGCTTGATTTCTTAGCTAGTTAGCCCTCATCACCAGTAATCACCACAAGAGCACTTACCATTCCTAAAGTGGTGGAATCGATTGACATCTCTCACAACAATCTCTCTTTGTACTATTTGTGATATGTATTTTGTAACCATATGGCAGTCATTACAGACACGGAGATTTTTTGTTATGCGAATCACACTTCCAGGTGGTGTGCTTAGAAGTCCCAATGCAATAGCTGATCTCTCACTATGACCCCACAATAATTTCACTTTCATCTTTTCATCAACATCACGAAGAACACAGCTAGTGTCAGGTACATGCCCAGTAGCTTCTATCACTGATTTTAAAGCTTCTAAAAACTGATGAATTTCTTCCCAGTTCAAATGTGAATTATCGCCAGCAAAAAAAGTATGGACCTGATTCTTTATTTCAACCGAACTGTACCCTGGAATCTTCTTTAAACTGTGAGCCCTCATGATGCTGCGAATATAATCTACTGCATCCCATCTCTTCATCGCAGCATATATATTTGATAGTAAAATATATATACCAGGGTTTGTGGAGTCTAGGTGAAGCAATTTATCTGCAGTTCTCAAGCCTATATCAATATTCTTATGGTAACGACACCCATTGAGTAAAGCTTCAAGAACAGCAGTAGTACCAGGCTGAGACGGCATATTATTAATGCACTCTTCTGCATCTTCAAGACGCCCTGCCCTACTAAGAAGATCAACCAAACAAGCATAATGCTTTTCAGATGGCTTAACTTTATGTTCACTTTTCATCTTCTCAAACAAATAGGTACCCTCTTCCACGAGCCCAGAGTGACTACATGCTGCTAGAAGAGCAACAAATGTAGTTTCATTTGGAGGGACTCTCTGATAGATCATTTGGTCATATATGTTTATAGCTTGGTGCCCGAAACCGTGAATACCATAACTTGTTATCATAGCATTAAACAAAATAACATCTCCACGATCCACTACAGTATTGAACACCCTTTCGGCTACACTTATTTTGCCACATTTGGCATACATATCAATTAAAGCTGTCATGTTCACAATTTCAAAAGAAAAACCTGATCGAACTAATTTAGCATGAACACTTTTTCCTTTCTGTGAGGATCCCAAATGGGCACAACAGTAGACCAAACCAACCAGAGTCACAGAATTGGCAGCAACATTCTCTTCCTGCATTTCACGGAATAGCTTCAGCGCATCCTCTGCTCTTCCGTTTTGAGATAGTCCCGTGAGCAAAGCAGTCCATGTAATAACATTTTTGTCTTTCATTGCAGTAAAAACATAATTTGCCTTGGTGAGTTCTCCACTCTTGGCATATAAATCAAGAAGTGCTGTAAATAAAATATTACTTGACTCTAGACTTCGTCGTAAGATGTAAGCATGAAGTATCTTGCCACTTGCCATGTCAGCAACTTGTGAGCAACCTTGAAGGAGGCTAACGAGAGTTCCCGAATCAAAACTGATCCCATGACATACTAATTCATGAAAGTATTCACGTGATTTATGAACCAAGTCATTCTGAACACATCCTGAGATCATTGCATTCCAAGAAACCAGAGTTCTAGTAGGCATCCTATCAAAAACAAGGGAAGAAGTTTCAATGTCACCCATCATACTATACATATTGATCAATGACGTTAGCACTTTAACATCATTTCCCATTCCCAACTGAACTGTAAGCCCATGAGTACATTTTCCTACTCTTATACATCCCATCACCTTGCATACCTGAATCAAATTCACCATAGTTACAGTACTAAGTCCAATGTTACATTTACGCATCCCTAAAAACAGTTGAAACACCTTATCGAACTGATTGGTTTTCACATAGCCTCCCATCATTGAATTCCAACACACAACATCCTTATTTTCCATCTCATCAAATAAAATCTGTGCATAATCAAGGTGTTCATATTTCACCAAGAAACATAACATTGAACTCCCAAAAAAACGATCATTATGCATTCCACGACCTACACCCCTCCTAACAATTTCCATCCCAGTCTCGTAATAATTTGGTAATGCGCTGCAGGCTTTGAGCATGAATGTGCAAGTGCAACTATCAATTCTTGGTTCTAAGGTACCCATCATTAGAAACAGGTCAACCACCTTAGAGTATTGCCCCCTTTTCAAAAACTCATTCATCATAGCATTGCAAAGAAACACTTCTGGGTCCGTAAATTGATCATACACATTGCGAGCAGTTTCAAGAGAGCCCAAATCACCATACGCCTTCACTAGCTTTGTGGCCAGAATAGAGTCAGTTGATAGAGAGTTTACAATAATCTGTGCATGAATTGATGCGACCCAGGAAATGTTTGTAGAGAATTGGTGTAAAAACGACAATAGTCGGCGGTTAGGGACGATTTCAGGTAAGAAGATGAAATGAGAGTCACCGCGGGCAGAGGAGTGGTTTGAGGATGAAGAAATAAACAGAGGTAAAAGAGGCTTCTTGAGACTGCAACATTCATTTCTGGATATGGAAGGAATCTTGATAGCATAGGAAAACAGTTTCATGGGAACCCAATGTTAGTACATTGGCTGCTGCTCACCAAATTCACGGTGGAAGGCCCGGTTCTGAGAAAATGAGGCAACCCAAAATGGCTATCAATTTTGAATCAAGCGCATCCGAAATTCTTGGACCATATATATCAAACAAAGAAGAACTATTTGGCCTATCATCTAGAATATCGTTTCCGATGTCCTCGGCGATAGTCGGCATACAATTTGTCCTCATTATCAGCAATCTCAAAATTGTGGTTATCAACTGGTTTTGAATCCATATAATTATGAAATTATCACAATGATTTACTATTTGAACATTTTTATCAACATCAATATCATGTTGTTCACCCTCTTCAGCCTCTGCAGCTTCTTTAATAATGAATTTATCAAGAGCTTATTTTTTAGACAGGGTTAACTTTTCAAGTCTTCTTTTCCTTTTAAGATTTCTCATATCCGGAAGATTATTTCTTTGGAAACATAATTACTACAAATTATTGAAATTACCCCCTAATCTTGTACACGTCTACAAATTTTTAGTTAAAAGTTGATTTAATGTTTGAGTTAAGGACTATGAATTATAAAGCCAAAAAATAATACTTAGTCCACTCCCTTCACTTGATTGTGATTTGATTTTAGATTTTATAATTTGTTAAATACGATAACTTGTTAGATTTGATTGGAAATTACTCACGCCTAATAATAAGCAACTCACAGGGCCGGTCCTGGGGCATGGGCAAAGGGGCATGCGTCCAGGGCCCATTGCTCCCCTATGGCATATAAATTTCCATTTATATATGAGGAATATTTTGGTCAGTCCGAACTGATCAGAATCGTCGTAAGGCCAATCTCGTTTGAGAGCCTTTTGGGTTGACTTTTTTAATGAAATTTTGTGAACACGTTCTTCATTAAATGTAAAAAATTCACATAAAACTTCATCAAAAAATTCAATTGGGAGTCAGTTAAATAAATTTTTCAAAAATACTGCACAAACATATGCATAAAAATCACAATGTTTTTCAACAATTTATTTAACTGATTTTCAAATAGAATTTTAAGCTGAAATTTTGAGCGAATGTGCTACACTTCATGACGAACATGTTCACAAATTTTCATCAAAAAATGTAACTCGGAAAGCCCTCAAACGGGCTTGGCCGCAAAGCGGTTCTGGTCAGTCCGAACTGACCAGAATTTTATTATATGTGTGTGTGTGTATGTGTTTGTATTTTAATATATAAAAATTTAAAAATAAAATCAAACTTGTAATTTTTTCATTACGTTCATTTTTTTATTCAACATCTACAAACTATAATTCTAAAATTTTGAAACATCTATACCATAATTGTTTGTGAACAAATTTCACAGTTTCTTTTGATTCATTAAGTGTACGTTAGTGCATAAATGTCAATATTTTCATCTACCTCTCTCATGTAAACTCATGATTCATTGATGGTATTTGGTTAAATTTTCTGTTCTCTCGTATAAGTGAAAGATTAAATTAGGGTACCAAGGATTTAGAAACTTGCAATTTGTTTTAGTCTAGTGAAAATGTGAATCAAAATATGAAAACTTTACTCCATAAGCGATATAACTTTCGAGTCTTTCCCAATTCAAAATTATGTACTAACAATCGTTCTACTTTTTCATTGAGCCATTTTGGTACATGGTATTCTCGAATGTCAATTATCAAATACTTAAATATAATCTCTCTAACCGTTCTTTATTAATTTATTTGATATGTTATACTCGTATTTGAATGAAAAAAATGCTTAAATATACTTAATTATAATTTTTATAAACAAATATAAAAATTCACACGTTATATACTCTATATGTATCGCCCCGAGCTCGTACAATGTCAGGACCGGGCCCATACAATGTCAGGACCGGCCCTGACAACCCAAACACATAAAAGTCAAAGAGACGGTAAGCTCAAAACCACAATTAACAATGCATGAAAAGTTAAGAAGATTAATAGTCTATAATTTAAAAGAAAAAACTTTAACTTGGACACTCCCTCCGCGGAATCAGCGGTCACCGGTCAGTGCCTCAGCGGTGTCTCCCTCTCGGCGTCTCCATTCACTCGATTCCGGCGATCAGCGTGAAGGCTTGGCGGCGTGGCAGCGCCCTTTAATCGTCGACGACTGGTCCGGTCGTCCCGTTTTCCATTGCAGAGTTGCAGACTTGCAGGCGCCGACTGGGCGACTGGATTACTGAAATATTGGGCGCCGATGAGTCCAACTCTAATTTACGTAGGTTCAGATGCTTACTATGGAGTATAATTGTATGAAATTTATAAATTTTACTACCTCCGTTCCAAATTGATTTGAAAATTTGACTTTTCTTGGTCAAACAATTTCATTTTATTTGCTTAATTTGGATGTCAATTTTTAATAATATTCTAATTTGGAGTTTACGACTTTGAAGAGATTTTAATATAGTTTCTAAATATATAAATTTTAATTATTAAAAATGGAATTAATTATCGATAGGGAGCATTGACTTTTTTTTATTGGTTGACCAAAAAATGTTGACTTTGCAAAACAATTTGGAACGGAGGGAGTATATTTTTATAGAAATATTTGAATAAAAATCATCTGATATAATTTTCATATTCAACATTAATTTCATATTTCCTCCGTTCCTAAATAAACTTCACACTTTAACTTCACACAAATTAAGGAAATAAGTTTGACTTTACTGTGGAATACACTGTTGTGACACTGTTTGACACTATTTTGCACTGTTTTGATGTAGATAATTTGACAAATAAGAAAGGGAAAAGAAGTGTGAAGTTTATTTTGGACCTACCGAAAATGGAAAGTGTCAAGTTTATTTAGGACCGGAGGGAGTATTAAAAAATGTCATCAGTCAAAGTTGATTGACATTTATCAAAAAAATCAATTTGACGAACTTTTTCAAAACAAAGAGTATTTGTATTTTTTAATATATTAAAAAAAAAATATTAAATTTGTCTCATTATATATTTGAAATTTAATTTTTAACAATAAAGAACAAAATATATTATTCATTAAAGTTTTTTACATCTTTAGTAGTTTTTTTAACGAACATTTTTTAATAGTTAAAGTTGTGCATCTCGAAACTTTAAAATGGAATATTACACACACACACATATGGAGGGTTCTATGTACTAATGTACACGGTCTATTCTTAAAAAGAAAAATTCAACTAGTCTATTTTTGAAAAGAATTTTGGAAAGTGAAAAAATGATCTTACTTTCACTTTTTAATCTATTTGTAAAAAATTCTCTTGTAGCATGCACCCTCGTGTCTTTGGAAGACTTTTGTGATCTTCTCCATTTTTGTTGCAACAAGCTGTATTATACTACTACTACTAGGGGTGAGCAAGACCTGATCCGACCTGAAAACTCGTTCGGATATACCCTTGGTACGCCCACCGGGTCGGGTGACCCGAACCCGAAAAACCAAACCGAAACCGGTTTCCTTAATCTTTCAGGGTAGCGGGTCTCGGGTAGGGTTTTAAAATTATCTACCCGACCTGCCCGAAAAACCCGAAACTCCAACTAGTATAAATACTACTTATCCACCTGTAACCCTAACCCTAATCCTCTTCTCTCTTCGGTCTTCATCGCAGACCCCTTCTCTCTAACCTAATCCTCTTCTCTCTAACCTCTCTGGCTTGTTGTTCCTCGTCTCTGACTCTCTGTCTCTCCTCTCTGGCCTGTTGTTCCTCCAATTTGGTGGAAACTTAAGAATGGTGGAACGGTGGAAGCCTACGACTATACGACACTACGAGTCCGTTGTGAGGTATAAAAGTACAAATATTTGATTTTATAAACTATTATGGTGGTAATATACTATGGTGGAAGCCTGGAAGCTCAAACCCTAGATATGTTGTGTACTTGTGTTATATTGTTATTGTCTTTTAATATGTATTCCTTGTGTAATTGTGACTTACTCATTCATGAATGGCGGAAGCCTGTTTACAATGGATTACGGATTTGTAAACTGTGATGCATCTGTGAGATGGTGTTGACTGATGCCTGTTAATGTGATGACTGATGCATGTTAATGTGAAGCCTGATGCCTATTTTGGTACCTATTTCACTTGTATTCTGAACTGCTGAATAAGACGATGTCTGAATATAATTTTTAGAGTAAACATGATGATTCATATTTCATATATTCTGCCTCACAAGTGTTGAAGTTACCCTTTTCTACTCAACACACAAATGAGTAGTTAGAGTGAACTGGTATCTTCTAAGTCTGTAGAGAAGAGAATAAGTCTACTGCTTATATCCTTCTGTAGATCACATTGCTGATTGTTCCAGACATTATTGTGAATGTATTAAAGTATTTATGATTGTCAATATGTGATTTTGTCAAAGATGTGTTCGATGCGTTGATTGCATTGAGGTATTTGAAATGTCTATAGTTATCAGAATGGAAGGTCAATACAACATCTGGTTCTCAACCTCCTCTAACTCTTATTTCTTGAGAACCTATGGTGGAAGATCATGATGTTGGGCCTAACACCAGCACTCAGCAGACAACTGCTATTGATGTGCCTGATTCTGGAAAAAGAGAAAGGAGGTAGAGTCCAGATCCAGAATATGGGATTACTCTGACAAGATAAAAGATAGTAATGGTGTCCTTATTAAAGGACAATGCAAACATTGTGCTAAAACATATTGTTGTCAGTCCAAGAAGCATGACACTTCATCTCTTAGAAATCACATATTGAACTGTTTGAAAATTCCTTGCTCAAAAGATACTAGGCAAGCCCTTCTCAATTTCGAACTAGTCTTGTGTAATCCAACACCTGAAAATAATGGAGTATTAGTGAATTGGGTGTTTGATTAAGGTGGAGTTAGGAGAGCACTTGCTGAAATGATCATCATTGATGAACTGTCATTTAGATTTGTAGACAAGGCAAGGGTTTAGAAAGTTTATCTCTATAGTTTGTCCTAGGTTTCAAATTCCTTCTAGATGGACAATTGGTAGAGACATCTATCAAATCTATTTAGATGAAAAACTCAATCTGAGAAGGTTCTTTAGGGAGCACACACAGAGGGTTAGTATAACAACTGACACATGGACCTCTATACAAAGGATCAACTACATGTGTATAACTGCACGTTTTATTGATCATGAGTGGAAGCTGAATAAAAAGATCATCTCCTTTGTTCTTGTGACTTCCCATAGAGGAGAGTACCTAGCCAAAGCTTTAGAGTCTTGCTTGCTAGATTGGGGATTGAAATCTATCTTCACCATAACTGTTGATAATGCTAGTAAGTAGTAGTAATGATAATGTAGTAGGATTTTTTAAGAAAAAACTATTGTCTTGTGGTGCCTCTTCTGTAAAAGTAAAGTACCTTCATATGAGATGTATTGCTCATATCCTAAATTTAGTTGTGCAAGATGGTTTAAAAGAAGTTGATGGTTCTGTTCAAAGGGTAAGAAATGTTGTTAAGTATGTTAGAAATTCACCTGCTAGGTTACAAAAATTCAAGGACATTTCATACTTGATTGGAGTGCAGACTAAAGCTGGATTGCACCTAGATGTCCCAACCAGGTGGAATTCAACCTATCTCATGTTGAAATCTGCATTGTCCAATGAAAAAGTCTTTGAAGCTTACGAGGAGACTGAGAGCTCCTATTCTATTGATTTGCAACATGAAACTCCTGATGTTGAGGACTGGCTTGCTGTTGAAACTTTGGTAGATGTACTTAAACACTTTTATGAAATGACCCTTAGGATTTCTGGTTCTTTCTATGTGACTGCTAATACTTTCTTCTCTGAAATATCTGATCTGTTCCTTGTTCTCAAAGATATGGCAGCTTCTGAAACTAATTCTGTGAAACTAATGGGGACTAGTATGAAATCCAAACTAGATAAGTACTGGGGTGATCCAGAAAAAATGAATATGCTTATTTTCTTTACAAATGTCCTTGACCCCAGGGATAAATTTGAGTACATGCCCATCAATTGAATGCTTTGTATGAGGAAAAGACAGCTAAGGTCTTCTTTGAGAAGATAAAGTTAGGTTTGAATGAGTTATATAGTGATTATGTTACAAACTATGATGGCTCTGTTAGTGGAAGCTCCCCTTTAACCCCAAATGTGGTTCCTTTGCAATCTGAATCAAGTGGAGGTAGGCATGTCTCTAGATTGAAAGCCCAATTGAAAAAACAAAAACAAGACAGTGGGGTGGTAGGATTGAAAAAAAAAACTGAACTTGAAACTTATTTGAGTGAGAACATAATAGAGGAGGACAATGAATTTGACATATTGAGATGGTGGAAACTTAATGGTGAGAGGTTTCCAATTCCATCTAAGATGGCAAGAGATATTCTCTTTGTTCTTATTTTCACAGTAGCTTCTCGGTCCACTTTCAGTACAAGTGGAAGAGTGTTAGAACTCTTTAGGAGTTCATCGAGTGTCAAAATTGTGGAAGCCCTCATATGTGCTCAAGACTGGTTAAGAATGTCCAATCAGCTTGTCTCAATAGAAGAAAACATTGAAGAGGTAGAGAGGTTGGAAACAGGTATAAGCTTTTACACATTCAGTTTTCAAAATTTATATTTCACCTTACTGTTTACTTAATGTTGTGTTTTTATTTTTTAATGCAGAATTAACCAATGGCAATGTTGGTGGAGGCCATTCTCTTGATCAGATAATAGTAAAACATTTCCTTTATCTTTTAAACATGTAATATGTTACTTCACTAATGATATGCTATGTTATGGTTCTGTGACTTCTGTCATCACCCTGCTGCTATGAAGGTAAATGGAAGTGTTGTTGTTTCACTGGTACAATTTCACCTAATTAGTGTGTTTGTACAACAAGACATGGTAATCTTGTTTCTCTCTATGCTAATTGATTATAGATTAAGTGTTGCATATATTGGCAATGATGATAGCTTCCACCAAAAAAAGAAATTAATGGGTCGGTGTTGATTCTATTTCTATATAGTTTCGTATGCCCCCATTTTTAGTGAAGTGAATAAACAATCTGAGCCTAAATATATGCTTCTTACTTACTGCCTTGCTGAAACTATTTCAATTTCAAATGTATTGATTCATTATAGATTAAGTGTTGCATATATTGTCAATGATGATAGCTTCCACCAAAAAAGAAATTAATGGATTGGTGTTGATTCTATTTCTATATACTTTCGTATGCCCCCATTTTTAGTGAAGTGAATAAACAATCTGAGCCTAAATATGTGTTTCTTACTGGCTGCCTTGTTGGTACTACTGAAATTTTCAAAGGTATCGATTCATTATGGATTAAGTTTTGCATATATTGGCAATGATGATAGCTTCCACCAAAAAAAGAAATTAATGAGTTGGTGTTGATTCTATTTCTATATAGTTTCGTATGCCCCCATTTTTAGTGAATTGAATAAACAATCTGAGCCTAAATATATGCTTCTTACGTACTGCCTTGCTGGAACTATTGCAATTTCAAATTGTATTTATCAGTTATTACTTTAATTATTGGAATGATGACAATCTTTGTGTACTCATGTACATAGGAACAAATATAATGATTGACTTAGAGGGTGCTGCTACGTGGTATGCTCAAACTCTTCAAGATGGAAGCCATGGAACCATGAATACAATGTTGTTGAAATTTGACTTTTGCCAACTGCTACTTTGTATATGTCTTGTTTACTATTTTGAAATTGCATTATGTATGTGTATTTGGATTTTGGATTTTGAAACTACAGACACACAGTTAGCCACTTAGCCAGTTACTGCTATTCATCCTATTATATAATTTTTGGTATATTATTACGCATGTTAAAATGTCTATTACTATATTTAAACAAACTTTTACTTTGAATGTTATAATGTTATGGTTTTTAATCAATTACCACTTTATTTCTCAATATTTCAACATAAATACATAACAACCCGAATGACCCCGAAATCCGACTCAACCCGACCGCGATCCGATTTTGTGCAACCCGAATAGTCCGATATCATATTTTGATAGAGTAGAGTTTTCAATTATAAATCTGATAACCGAACGGGTTTACCAAATCTCAACCCGTCCAACCCGAATCCGTCCGACGCTCTCCCCTAACTACTACCACTTCTTTTTGTGTACATCTAATTTTTATAGTATTATACAGGTCCAAGAAAATAGAGAAGACTAGAAACTCTTGTACTGTTCTACTTAATCGACAGTTGCATGTACACTTTTTATGTACACCAACAATGATTCAAATACTATTAGAGAGTGTTTGCGATTGTTTCTATTTTTTACAAGTGATTTTGGAGAAAATGCTCAATAGTACAAGTTGGTAGTATTTGAGAAAAATTGCTTTTGTAAAAATAAATGTTGATAGTGTTTGATAAAATAAGTGTTTTTGTGTAATACGGAGTAGGAAAAAGTGAAAAGTAGTTTAGCACACACCTACTTTCAGCTTTTAGCTTTTAAGTCTTTAATTTGAATTCTTTAATTTGAATAGAAGCCTTCACTTGAAAGCCGCACGTATCAATTTGTTTAAGCAAAAAGTTGATTTTTTAATTGGTTGCAAACAATGCATTAGTTTATTATTACTACTACCTCTATTCTTGTGGAATTTGTCAAGTGCAAAATAGGTGAGAAATAAGAATAGTAAAAACTGTTAGTTGAGATTTGTGCGGAGGAGAGATATATGTGCAGAATCATAAATTAGTTGCTTTAATGGAAAAGTAACAATGTTTGTTTCGGACAACGAAAAAAGGAAAGTTGTCAAAATGTATGAGATGAGGAAGTACATTTTTGGGCCTTGGGTATTTAGGAGAGTGCAATTCGTCTGGGTGCCCCTGCTGTTGGGCCGGCATTGCTTGGGAATATGGAACAAAATGTAAGACGATGCACGGCATCTTTCTAGCTTTAACCTTCTCCCTCTCTGCCCGGCTCCATCAATCATAGAAAAAGCCTATCAACTCGATACTAACAGGGTTACAGGGCAGTGCAACTCGTCATCGCCGGATTCGTATCTGCCGATTTCAGGCGTATTTTTCTGTGTTCGACGCCTCCTACCTCATATCCCAAGTCGTGGTCAACACGCGATTTCTCCCCAGGTTTGCCGTGTTTTATGTGCTTCAGATGTTAGTCGTAGCTTTCCATTTGAATTCACAATTCCATAGAGTTTATCTTAATGTTCAAGTATAAGCTGGGGGAAATCACTTTTTCCCTCTTAGGGTTTGATTGGCTTTAGGATTTTAGAGGGGAGGGTATAGTTGTTATTTGTTTTACTGGTCCCTTTTCCAATTTATTAATGTTAAATGAGAAACAAAATGTATATTAAATCATGTAAATAGTTCTTCTTTTGGATTTTCTACCTTAACCATCTATTTTGGGAGTGATTTAATAAAATAAATATCACCCCCTTAAATCTCCCGACCAATTCAATCCTTAAGGGCCTATTTGGACGGAGGCAGGGGAAATCTATGTCTTTATATTTAATTGAGATTTCTTACAGATTAAAAGATTGCTCTTTTTAGATTGAGAGGTTATGGTAAACTTAAAAGCTCAACCTGGTTTAGGTGAAAAGAGATTCACTTTTGAATTTCATAAAATGTTGCTTTGGGATATTATTCGTAGTTACCAGATAGTTCCACAATTTTTTTTTACTTCACATGAGCTGAAGTGAAACAAATTATTTAAAATATATCAGGACATTCACCCCTTGCATGCCCTATTTTGAGGTTAATGAAAGGGACTAGGGAGTGAATCAAGGTGACTGCTTCACATAAGTTAACTTGGGTTTACAATAGCAAATAAGGCTCCAATTGGAGTGAGAATAAAATAATTTTTGTAGATTCGTGTATGTAGCTCAATACCAAAAAAGTCCCCAATTGGAGTGAGAATAAAATATTTTTTTGTAGATTGGTATATGTAGCTCAATGCCTCAATGCAACAGAGCATAACATCATATATGATTGTCCCAGAAGCACAGCAGCTAAGAAAAGTTCATGCATCGTCCATACTTGTCACGGCGGTAAGTCGAGTCGCGGCGCCAGCTGACCGCCATATCGCCTAGGCGACAAGGCGGCCGCCTAGGCGACAATTAGGCGACTAGTCGCCTATATGTGTATTATATATTTATAATTTTATATTATATATTATATATATATAATTATATATTAACTAACATGTATATAACTTAGAATTGAAATCCACAATTAATAATTAAAAACAAGGTTTATTAATGGGAATTAAGATTAAAAATGTATATCTCAAATAAGCAGCGTAAAGATCAAAGTTCAAACTACTAAGTTCTCAAAAATCATCAAGGACTAAATCATCTCTACGGCCTTCGCCCTGATCATCATCATCATGAGTAGGAGTGGGTGGTGTTTGGCCATAGTCATCTTCAACATCTTCATCATCATTCGGAAAACTTTCTTCTTCTTCATTGTCCATGTCTTCATCAATCAACCTTAATGAAGAATTCGAACCACGACGTCGATAATAAACCGGTTCTCCACGAGAGCTATTAGTTCTAGGAAGATTACGACCCTCAAGATTGCTTGATGCACCCACAGCTTCATCAACTTGACTCCATAGAAGATCATCACCAGGATGAACAACTTCATTGCTGACCCATTCATTGTCCCATTGAAAATCTTCAAAAATTAAAGGGTTGAAGTTTGTTCCTTCTTCACGCCGCTTCTGAAATCTGGTTGCTATAATGCTATCTTCCGATTATATTGAATAAAAACCAAGTCATTCAACCGCTTATGCTCTAACCTGCTTCTTCTTTTTGTATGAATCTAAAATAAAGATAAAAAATATATTTGATAAGTGTTTTGATTTGATTAGTTAAAATCTTGTGTAATTTAAAATATGTAGTTAGTATTCAAAATTGTAAGTATATTACTTACAAACTCAAAAGTGCTCCAATTACGCTCACAGCCAGAAGAGGTACAACAGAGACTAACTATGCGTTTTGCGAACGATTGCAGCTCAACAGCGAGTCCACCAAAAGCATCCCACCAATCAACTATAGATTAATCACAAATAAAATATTATTTAATTTTTAAAATATTTAAACTGAATTTTAAAAATAATAAAAAGTATCACTTACGAGGACTCTTAGATTTTTGTTGCCTAATCGCGAGCTGCTTTGCAAAACTGCCTCTCAATTTGTCATAATCTGTCGCTTGATCACTTATCTTGGCCTGCAATGTTTCATCGGTGACCATCTTTTCAAGCACATCGTTAAACATTGATCGTTGCTTTGATGCTGATGTGGGATCGGTTAGTTTGAGATCAAAATATTTAGACGGATTTAAAAACAAAGCTGCCCCGTATAATTTGACCTCCATCTGGACTTCCCATCGTGTCTCAATGATCCGAACTAGGCTTCTCAAAACTCTAGTCTTATTTTCAAATGACTCGCAAATTTTTTTCTTGGCACAATCCATGGCTAGTGAAAGCTCTGGCATAGCCGGTTTCTCATCAGCATCAACTATCCTCAAGACAATTAAAAGTGGCTGTGAAGCTCGTATGCAATCTTCCACTGCACTCCAGTATCTAACAGACAACACAATCTCACTAACCTTCTTTCCTGCTTCTGTGGCAGCCAATTTAGATCTACTCCAATCCAGACCGCTAAATTGATTTCTCAATGCTTCTCTGTGTTTATATAGAGATTGCAAAGTGAGAAACGCTGTTGCAAATCGAGTAACTCCAGGTCTTACAAGATCCTTCCCACCCGTCTTTTGTCTCATTGAATGGAGGATTCTTGTATGCCGATAAATGAAAGTAGTCACACGTCTTGCTTTTTTCAATGTGGGGCTTGAAATCGGCTAATTTACCGATATCCTCCAACATCAAATCCAAACAATGTGCAGCGCATGGAGTCCAATAAAGCGTGGATATCTTGTGCTCTAGAAGCTTTCCCGCAGCCTTATAGTTAGAGCCGTTGTCTGTCACCACTTGCACTACATTGTCTTTTCCAACTTCTTCAATTTTTTTCTCAAGCAACCCTGCTAGCAATGTTGCATCTTGAGATTCACCTGATGCATCAACCGAGTCTAGGAAAAAAGTACCTTCTGGACTATTGACAAGGAAATTAATCAAGTGTCGATTCCTTCGGTCAGACCATCCATCAGACATGAGTGTGCACCCGTATTCCTTCCAAGCAAGTTCATGTTTTTCTCTGAGCTTCTCTGTATTTTTCTTTGCTTTTTCAAGAAGTGGTACACGCAACTCATGATAGCTAGGAGGTTTAAGTCCTGGTCCAAACTGCCCAATTGACTCCACCATGATCTCATAACTCCTGGAGTTTGCTGCATTAAAAGGAATGCCGTTTTCATAAAAAAAATCAGCAATGTGCATGAAGACCCTCTCTTTCTCCAATTCTCCTCCTTGCTTTTTATGCATTGTTCTAGTGTAGTTTGGGTGGGGCCTTTCGTATGTCTTTCATCAACAACCTCCTCGGGAGTTTTGCGAATGATGGAGGCAATTGACTTGTTTTGTTTGGGCATTTTTGGTGGAACATTAAAGAATTGTGAAGCAGCATTTTTTTCTCTTGGTTGCTGTCCCAGAACTCGGTTGAGAAGTTGAAGTATCTATTTGAGTCAAAGGTACTTCAACATCATCTTGATCGTCATCATCTTCAATGTGGATCGGTTTTTTTCTTGATTTTCTCATTAGATATTCTCGCATCTCCCTCATGAGTTCTGTTGTCGTATGAGGACATACAGCAACATCTCCATATCCGCCTGCTAAATGTTGCTTCAATCTCTTTATGCCAGAACGCATTTGCTTATTACAATGCTGACATTGGACGAGGTCTTTATTGTTCAAGTCTGGCCAAAATCCATGGTGCCACCCTGGGTCATCAGATTTCGCTCTTCTAGCAGGATCTTTAGATGGATCATACACGGGTTCACCTTCATTGTCCGCCATAACTAATATGTATACAAAATTAGTTTAAACTTTAAAATAATGAAAACTTAACAATACAGTAATACACCCAACCAATATAAAATTAATAATAAATCAATATACACTGTATAAATTATAAATTATAATAAATAATCCTAAAATTTAAAAAACTTAACCCATTCACTAATAATTCTCTGAAAATATGAATATTAAACAATAACACATGTATGCAAATAAAATGTATAATTTATTATATGCGTATAAGTGTATAACTATGTAATTATGTATTGATTATATATGTATAAAATTGATTAATAAGTAAGAATACTATATGTGTATAATATAAACAATAATATGTATTGATAATGCATAGAACATATATCTGCAATTTGATATATATACAATTATATACGAGTATAACTGTATAAGTATAACTGTATATAAGTTATAACTATAAAACTTTATTAAAAATAATAAAAAACTTTATTATATACTTCGTATTATATACGACTTACTCTCTAACTCTCTAAGAGAAGAGAAATCGAGAAGCGAGTAAGCGACTAGAGACTGTAGAGAGGCGGAGAGCTGAACCTGGGAAAGTTGGAACCTGGGAAATCGAGAAGTCGTCTGCTTCAGCCAAGGACAGGGCAGAGAGGGCGAGACTGCGAGACGGCCGAAACCTCTTCTTCCTGGAGTGTTTCGTCTGCTTATGGATTTCTGGGAAGTGGGAAGTCCGCTAATCCGCTTCTTATAATTTCGTAAGTTTAATACTTAAGGAGTCTGGGCTTTATAGTTAATTAATCAAATTAGTTTCCTAAAATTAGTTTCCTAAAATCTATTATTCTATTTTGATTCGCATGATCGCATCTGGGATTCTGGATTTCTGGGTACAATGGGCTTGCGCTTTGCGGGCCGGTTCTGTTCAACTTGGGAAGAAGTCGAAGACTTGTCGCCTTCATCACGCCTGGACGACGACTGGACGACGCCTGGCACGCCTATTCTTCTTCCGGCGAGGCGAGTAACTCCGGCGAGCTGTCCCTAGCGCCAGGACGCCTAGTCGGCGACTAGGCGACGCCTAGGCGACGCCGTGACAAGCCTGGCATCGCCATTCTGGAAATATATCAGAAACTCAAAAACTTCAAATCCCATTTCCTTAATTAAAGAAACCGGGAAACCCATTTGCCTAATCGATTGGCATTCCAGAAATATTAGTTCTTTGTGTTTTTGTTCATTGTGAAGTGACTTCTTGATAGAAATTACATAGTACTCCGAAGCATTTATGGGGTTTTTATGGGTTTTATGGGAAAGCTTCATAGCAACAGTTTGAATTTTGCGTTTGCAAACACACGGCTTTGACTATTAATATATTCCAATCGGCTATTAGTAAAAATCGAAAATAATCATATCTTGAAATTTTGCTTCAAGACAAATTTAATACTCCCTCCGTCCCTTAAAACTTTGCCATGTTTGACCGGCACGTGGATGAATAAAGTAAAAATTGTGTAGTTGAGGTTTGTGTAGAAGAGAGAGAATTAATTGGAACCACAAATTATTTACTTAAAAGAGAAAGTGAAAAAGTTAGTGGGACATCCAAAAAGGAAAGTTGGCAAAGTTTTAAGGAACGGGGGAGTAATATTTTTCATAGTATAAAATTTTAATACATTAATATATAAAATGAATCCGGAAATACTCTGTATGTGCTTTAGTACAGGGGTAAGACTGCGTACATCCATCCCCTACCTCATCGAAGGTGTGGGAGCCTTTGCGGCACTAGGGTAACGATGATGATGATTTATATATAAAATGCAGTTAAACTATAGTATGTGATGATGATGATTAATATATAAAACGTAGTTAATATTGTCTATGCATATTATATCACGTGTTACCCCCATGTTTATTATCCTATATTTTTAAAATATTGTTTCTCGTGCTTCTAGTTTATCATATTTGCGCTACCTACATTTCATTCATCTTTTATTCGTTTTATAGAAAGTTAGAAACACATTCATCAGTATGGTATAATATAGACTAAGCTTTCCTCTCCAAAACCCCATGTCCAAACAGATCACAAAGCTTATACCTTTGTGTAAGGTGAAAAGGAATATGTCACTGAACAAAGTGTTGGCTTCACTTCTCAATTTGTAGCTAATGAACTGCTGGTTAACATACAGGTTACACTCTTTGGTTGTGTGGAATTCAGCTGCATCTAATGGATGTGGTTTCTTCAAAAAGTAGAGTATCATATTCTTCTATTGCCAATATACAAAAGCAGACTGATAACTATTGTGCTGTTGAAGACTATGATGATCCTTCTGCATGGGCATTGCCGGATCACCCTAATGTAGATAAGAACGACTATAATCATTATCCATACCCATCACTGAAATCCAATGATTCAATGGAAGGAGGGTATGATTCCAGTGATGAACAGTATCATTACGTGCAGCATGATACTCCTGAAATTAACTTGAGAAATGTGATGAGTGGTATATTTGCCATCGTTACAGGGCGCAATAAAGGTGCAGTTTCTAATCTAACCTGCCAAAAACCCACTTCAAATGTCTCATTTCTTGGATCTGGAGAGAATGGAGAAACATTATTGCATTCTTCTGTATACACACCCAGTGCACCACCACTCATGGAGCCCAATGTGTCTGATTATAATTCTCATAAGGAGGTTTTGGAATCTGAACCTCCAGAGTGGCTTAAAGACAGTTCAACCACTGTATGCATGCAATGCACATCCCCCTTCACTGCCATAACACGTGGAAGGCATCATTGTCGTTTTTGTGGAGGAATATTTTGTAGGGCATGTTCAAAAGGAAGGTGCTTGTTGCCTGCAAAGTTTAGGGAGAGAAACCCACAACGGGTTTGTGATACCTGTTATGAGAGGCTTGATCCTTTGCAAGGTGTACTTATCCATGGGATTAGCAATGCTATGCAGGCTGCAAAGCATGATGTCACTGATTGGACTTGCTCGAGAGCCTGGCTTAATCTTCCTGTTGGTTTCTCCATGGAGTATGAGATATACAAGTCATCTAATTCTTTGAGGAGCTATGCTCAGGTCTTGATCCTTGAATGCTTTTTGTTATTGTTTTTTGGGGGTAAAAGTCGCCCTTTTATTTATCAACTTTCCGTTCTCCCTGTCCCTAAATGATCTTTCCATCATCTTTTGAGGAGAAAATTGTGTTACTGATACTTCCCTTTCTATTTTCTAAATCCCCCCCCCCCCCCCAGAATCCGTGCGAAGTCAAACTGGGAAAAAGGGATGCCGGGAGTATCGTTCATTTTATAAAAAAGTTTCTAGATTAAATTGTTGATAGCTGCATACTCCGTAGTATATCCGTAGTATATAGGCGAGTCACTTAACCTATTCATGAAATAGTCCAGTTTCAAACATTTTATGTTCCAAAAGGAGTCCAGCTTGATCAAACACTTTTTTCATGTAGTTTGCGAAAAAAGTTGTACATTGGTCAAACATGATGTTTTTTTGGTGTGGCAGAGTTGGTATTAGAGAGTGGGTCTTAATTTTCTTTGTTAATATATAGGCAATGCTCTATATTCCAAAACATAGAGTAATAATTAGATATTTAGATACTAATACTCTAAATAATTCTTGGAGCAGGTTTCTCGGTTAAACCCCGAGAAGTCAATACCTGCAGCTGTTCTGAAGGGTGCCAGAGGTCTTGCAATATTGACCGTTGCCAAAGCAGGCGCTCTTGTTACATACAAACTGGGGACTGGTCTGGTAGTTGTCCGAAAATCAGATGGATCATGGTCTGCACCATCAGCAATAGCCTCAATGGGTTTGGGATGGGGCGCACAGGTATATATTATGTGTTCAACAGTTGAGAGTACTTGAGTAACTGCTGCTATACCTGTGGGCTATTTGTTTTATCAGTTTTGGTTAAGGGTGAATAATTAAAAGATGGGATAATTCTTCATTTGGGTTGTCGTGGCTACTTGGAAATTTATCTATTTATGATCCATAAAATATTCTTAAATTGTTCATTCCACCCATGACCAATTTAATAAAATACATCCAATCCATTAACTATTTTTTCCACAAAATTGATCGACTCCCATTTTCTTAATACATTTTACGCCTAGAGACATATTACATATGACACTTCTGCACATTTGTAGTAATTGACTGTGAAATAAGTCATGAATGAATATGAAAATCCATTTTTTATGGATTTAGAGGATTTTAAGATGTAATCCAATGGGTTAAAAATGGTTGGACCGATCTCCATCCAATATACTGTGTCTTTCAAACACTTTTTTCCCAAATGAAAGTCCCTTTTGATCCGACCAAGCTAATGTGGCCAAAGATTTCCAGAAGAGTAATGTTAGACAACTAACAATTGACAATTTTTTTTTTTGAAAACACAATTGACAGATTTTTAATTAACAAAGAATCAAGAAAACTGAGCTTTATTCAACATTCAACAAAGAAATTGTACAGGGAAACAGTTTCTGGGCTAGTTCGAGAGTGCCAGAGCTCTCCTAGTCTATTTTCCAACTGTCATACAGCCTACCTTTCTCTTCCCCTCCTTCCTTACTCTTAATTCTTAAAGTAATTCTACTTTTTATAAGGGCCGGCCCATTACTCTTGCATGGCCCAGAACCCTCTTTTATACACTATCACACTCTTGCCTCAGGATATAACCCAAGCCCTTGGGTTTCAGTTACTTCACTCCTTGAAATTGTAGTATGTGACATGAAGTATTCCCTGGGACTGATAAGAAGAACAGCGGGAACAGCAATTATCTGACTAACAACTTTGGCAGATTCAATTGTAGAGGTATTAACGGAAACTTTCCAATAGGAATCCTGTGACCTAGAATTGATAGGTGCAAAGTGCAGACAATGATATGAATGGTGCAGAACCTGTTGCTGTTTCGACTATGGATAAAAAACTGGCATAAGGAAACTCTGCAAGATACTCTTTTCCATTTGTCAACCCCTTTAAACCCCTTTTATGCACTTTAGAATCACCAAATAGCTGCACCCACCTAGAAAATTAGTAGGTAAAACTATACACACATAGCTTATAGTTTTTCATGCTGCTTCCTCTACAAGAGCTCTTCTCCACTTAAGAACCAAGTTCCTAATGTACTGATGTACTCCCACCTTACTGCATTAAGGGCAAGATCTGGGCAGCACGACTTACAAACACCATCATCTTTAGTCAGACAGTTGGAAGAGCCTCTTAGTAGGGCAGACATAGAAACTGGATTTCCACTATAAGTCACCCACCTAGGACCAACAGCAAGAGGTCTGATGCCCTGGTTTCCAGATCCCGAATAGCCCCTAGCAACAGGGTATGTGACAAGGTTATAATCCCTCTCTAAATCTGCGGTATTACCACAGCGTATCTGAGCCACTGGTAGGACAGTAACCACTCCAGAGCTGCATCTAACAGAATGAACAACTGATCTGAACTTCACATGATGTACATAAGAGTGAAATCTCAAGTAATAAAACCGAACAGTGAGAACAAAATTTCCATTGAATACATCACTGCTATGGCAAAGACTGCCACTAAGACAAGATCCATGCTGAGGTTTGTTCATACAGCCCCTTTTTCCTTCCATCCCCTCTTGTCTTCATCTCTAAACTTCAATACTGTGCCTACCTGTTCCATGCTAATCATTAGCGCGACCTGAATTTTGAACCCATTCTGGATGTGTCCTAACCCATTGCCTCCTTCAGAGGTTTCCAGGCATAAGCAGTTGTGTGCTCCTTCCCTCACGTAAACCCATTCATTGCAATCCCAGTAAACTCCCTATTCTCCACATCTGTCGCCCAGTTTAGCTTGAACAAATTGGTTCCCAAATCTGACTTGACAGACTCGTACTTGGAAGAAGCGGTATCAATGAGGGATCTAGCAATGCTGCAATGGCGCCAACTTCGGGTCCATGTGCAACTGTAGATTGCTCCTCGAGTTCGTCGTCAAGATTCAGTTCCTTAGTTACCGATTCAGCTGGCTTCAACTTGGTATTAATTATTGACTGGGGAGATTCTTGCGCAGGGTGAGAAACGTCTTGCGACAAAACTTGCGAACTCCAAGAATTAGGTAGCAACTGCGAATTGATATTTTTTATTTGCGACACAGTCTGAAAACTGGGAAAAACGACTTGCGATGGCGTTCAGTGAGGAGAAACAGTTCGCGATGAAGCCAGAGAACTGGAAGGAGTTTCTCGTGACTGAGAAGAAACCTGCACACTTAGCGGCGAACTGGGAGACACGGTTGACGACCACTGGTTTTCAGATGGCCGACAATGTCTAGGGCTCCTCGCTCGGCCTCTATGTCTCCGACGAAGCTGTTGAAGCGAACGTTCGCGCAACTTGACCAGCATCGTTTGCATCTCTGCCAAATTGCGTTCGATATTTTCCATGTTCTTTTTCCATTCGCGGCAACATATAGAATTCCTCCTCCATTCCAGCTCGTTGATGCTCTGGAATGATTGTTGGTGCTCTGGTGATGATCCTATTGAATCTTTCTGTCTCCAGGAACGCAAGAGCTCTGATACCAATGTTAGACAACTAACAATTGACAGATTTCTAATCAACAAAGAATCAAGAAAACTGAGCTTTATTCAACATTATTCAACAAAGAAATTGTACAGGGAAACAGTTTCTGGGCAAGTTTGAGAGTCCCAGAGCTCTCCAAGTCTATTTTCTAACTGTCAAACAGCCTACCTTCCTCTTCCCTCCTTCCTTACTCTTATAGTAATTCTATAAGAGTAAGGGCCGGCCCATTATTCTTACATGGCCCAGAACCCTCGTTTATACACTATCACACTCTTTAATACTATTCTATTATTCTTGTTAGTACTATTGTCCGTAACCTTATCAAGTAGTATTAGGTAAGTTGCATATGATAAACTTAGTTAACCTAACAAATAAACTGTAGAACAATCGAAGTATTATAACTTATAAGTATAATTTGCGATTTATGGCAATTTTACCTTACCAAAATAAGATGTTGTTCATGGATGTATCATGACTTTTTTTGGACGGAGGTAGTAATATACATGGATGAGTATATATGATGAATACTCCCTCATTCCTTGATTCCCCAAGAAATTCTTTTGCAAGTTTTTTTCTCCAAAAAAGAGTCAGCTTTAGAACTCAACTTAAATTTTAAATAATATTCCTGTAAAGCCAAGCAGCAGGAGCATTTAGTAAATTACTTCAGAAAATCTTTGAATTAAGTTCTAAGGGTCAGTGATTATTCATAATTTGTAAAAGTTTGTACCTTGATAGAGTTGACTAACAATTCACAGTTGTACGTTAATTGAGTGTGATTTTTACGTGGTTATTTTTTAATGGTTTATCTGCCACCACTAGGTCTGCTGATCTTTGTTTTTTCCTTAACTTTTGTAGGTTGGAGGTGAACTCATGGACTTCATAATCGTGCTGCATGACTCTAAAGCCGTTAGAACATTTTGCAGCCGCATGCACTTTTCTCTTGGAGCTGGGTGCAGTGTCGCTGCAGGCCCAATTGGAAGGGTTTTGGAGGCCGATATGCGTGCTGGAGACAAGGGTTCTGGGATCTGCTATACTTACAGCTGTAGTAAAGGTACATTATTCGCACACTCATTATCCTGTGTCCTATCTGTGAATTTTTGTAGGCATTATTGTTAATCTCTAGTGGTAACTTATGCATCGTGCAAAAAATGAGTTGGTTTGGTGAAAAAGGAAGTGTGGCCATTGGTTGTGCCAAATGAATTCATTTCATTGAAGCTCTTGTGTTTTTCTATCATATATTCATAAGAAAGTCCCACACAACGGTCCTTTCCTACCATGTGGTAAGGTATAAGCCTCAATCAAAGCATAGAAAAAGCATTAAAACATTTTAGAATCTATTAATGCCCAAATACAGAAGTATAACAGAAACTTAAAAGGGGAGGCTTTGCACACCGGTTAAGGTGTTGTTGTGTGATCAAGAGGTCACACGTTCAAGTCTTGAGAGCAGCCTCTTGTAAAAAATTTGACAGGGAAGACTTGCTCCTTATGGTGGGACCCTTCCCCGTATCCTCACCTCACCGGACCTACCCTGGTAACGAGTAGGCCCTAATGTTCATCCTTGGGCTATAGAGCCTAAAAGCCTTTTCTGTCAGTCTAGTCCCAAGGTATACCCCAGGTTTTACTCCCAAAAACCATTTAAAAACTCAGATTAGTTCAATCATCCAACAATAATCATATTTGACAAATGTACCACTTTTTTGTTTTAGTAATGTACTCTTTTAAGATTCATCATTTTTAACTTGTTCAGGGCTTCTATATCTCTGGAAATCGCAAGTTGCTTTAATATAATGATACTTTGGACCCTTTCTCTTGAGACAAAGTTCTTGAAGCATGGTTTGTTCTTAGGACGGTGTTAATTTGTTTTTAACCTTTTTTATTTCTCCAAATGGCCTAGGTGCATTTGTTGGAGTATCACTAGAGGGAAACATTGTGGCAACCAGAATGGATACTAATCTTCAGTTTTACGGTGATCCATATCTTACTACAGCTGATATCCTTCTTGGGACGGTGGAAAGACCTAGGGCTGCTGAGCCATTGTACAATGCCCTTGATGAACTATATGCTAAAGTTCCATTGCAGATTAAATCGAGTCCCTTTCAATCTTAAATGTTTAAGCTCAGATATGTGCTTGTTAATGACAAACAAATTGTACAGTGCCATATTGACCAGAATAAGTTGGTGTTTTCATTATACTCATGTACAGATAAGTTGTACATATATGCTGTCAATGTATATGATCTTGAATTCCCATGTTGTGAAATTGGTTATGACGGATCTTTAATTCTTTATGTCTGTTGTAATGCTGGTGTCAGGGACCTCTAGCCTGAGATATCTTGCGAGTCCCGAAGTTAATGACCTGGTTAAATTTAATACGGAGTACTACTAAAAGTACATAGGTTGGGAATTACAAAGTTCCCGTTTATTTGAAATATATGAACCCTAAAAGTTGCAAAACTTCCAAATAAAATATTTATATTAATTATATTAACAGTTGCGGAGCATTTCATATTCAGCTTATACAATTCTAAAAATGCAAAGGGTGAAACTTTCAAGTACGTTCGAGACCAAATAAATACTACCTCCGTCCCATTGGAAAGTTCCCGTAGCAAAACGGCACGGTTATTTAGGCAATAATTAAATAAAGTACTTTGAGTATATTTTGAGAAATAATTTTAATAGGTATATATTATAATGTAGTTAGTATTGATAATTGTGATGTTATAAATGTATTATTTTTAATATTTAATGATTAATTTGTCAATTAAGATTGTTAATTATTTCCTAAAATGGAAATGAGAACCTTTATATGGGACGTCCAAAAAGGGAAAGTGAGAACCTTCTAACAGGACGGAGGGAGTATATATTTCCTCGTTTCTGAAAATTCTTCTCACTTATCTTCTTAGGACGTCTCAAAAAATTATTCTCATTTTTTCTTTTGGAAAAATTTGTGTGACTACCATTCATTTGCTTTTTTCTTACTCAATCGCAACCATACATCTTCACTTTGTAGATGGTACAGAAGAGAGAAGTACATAACTTATTACTACCTCAATGAAAAAAGACATTATTATTTAAATAATATTATCCTCCGTATCATAATAGTTACAACATTGGAATTTCCACACTATTCATGTACTCTAGTTTGACTACATTTTATTTATTAATGTATGTGAATTACTGTTTTTGAAAAATATTGTTGAATTCGTCTCATTATGAAGTTTCATAATCTGTTTTTTAAAAGTTTTTTACTAATAGAGAATTAAATATAATGACGGCCAAAGTTGTGCATTTACAAGCGTGAAAAAAGAAATGTTGCAGACCTTATGTGACTATTTCTTAATAGTAGAAGACCTTATTTGACCCTTTTCTCAAAAAAGAATGAATGAAGTAATTAAATAAGGTCATTTGAATATACTTTGGAAATAGATTTGATGTGTATAACATAAATGATATACTATAATTCTATAAAACTATAAATTATTATACTACCTCCATTCAGAAAAGGTTTGCCATATTGACTTTTCTTAGTCTAAACTTTGGACAATGGTTTTAATTATTATATTTATATATAATTTATAAATTTTATACTTTTCATATTCAAATTGTTAATGTTGACATCCTTTTCATATTCAAAATAATTTCGTATTAAAAGATAGTATTAGTCAAAGTTGAATGTCATTGACCAAGAATAGTTAATTTGGCGAACATTTTCGCCTTTTCGGGACGGAGGGAGTATAAATGATGAATTCAACCCTTTACGGTCTAAGTAGACTCAAGAGAAATCTGGGCTGGACTGCCATGTTTGGGCCTGTTAGACCCGATTACATAAAAGGGCCAATAAATGATATAAAATCTATTCTAATATATATAAATGAATAGATTAAAGTGCACAATAATATAAACGCTATCTATCGAGCGTGTGTGGGTCGCTTCTAGACTCAATAGTCGTGAGTTTCGGAGTCTGGGTTCTTTTACTCTAGCTGAGATTGTTGATAATAAATGTAATATTGTATGTGCATTATTTTTAGTGTTCGGTGAACATTTTGTAATTGAAGAGTGTTGATAATTTCTTAAAATAAAAAAGGAATATTTAGCTAGGATGTTCAAAAAAGACAAGTAAAAACTTAAAATGGGATGGGGAAAGTATTAAAGAGAGAAGGGTAGCATTGGTGTCATGTATGGAAAATGAAGGAGTTAGATAATGAAATGGAAGTACTTTTTACTTGGCGTCTATTTCATTGAAATGGAGAAACCACAAGTCCCATAGAGAACAACAAGAAGACCAGAAATGGGGAAGAAAGAGGGATATGTGAGATTGTGAGGGTTAGACGAAAGGAAAAAGGGAAATGAAATTGTCCTAATGGATTAAAAACGTTTTGAAATTCCAAATATGACTTTCATGTTTTTATTCCCTAAACAAGAGTAATTTCGGTCAAGTTTGGAAAATAATTGGCATAAACTGCCATGTTTAAAGTCAAATAACGCCAAACTTGACGTAAATTACTCATATTTAGGGATCAAATAAAAACATGGCAATCCTATTTTGGAATTTCAAAACTTTTTTACTCCTACTTAAGGGATTTTCCCAAAGGAAAATCATTGGAATAAGTCAATAAGTAAGTGGAAGAGTATTTACCGGCTAGAATTGTCTCAAACTAGCTTATACACCGAACATTATTCCTCAAATTGGACGCATAAAGAGTATAATTACGATTATAACACTCTTCTTTTCTCAAATTGGGCATTTAATTCTAACTTATGAGGACAATTCATGTCTAGCCGGTTTGACGAGAATCGCCGTCCGACCGAGGTCGTTTGAGGCCTTTTCCAGTGGAAATTTCTGAGTATGTTCTTTCGTCAAGTCTAGTTTATGCTCACCGAAATTCAGCTAAAAACTCAATCGGAAAGTCAGTCAAATAAGTAATTGAAAAACAATGCACAATTTATATATATACATAAAGCACAGTGTTCGTATATAATTTATTTAACTGGCTTCCCGGTTGAATGTGTAGAAGAAATTTAGTGGACATGAACTAGACTTGATGAAGAACATGCTCAAAAAAAATTATCAAAAAATTTCACCGGGAAGTTGCCGTTAGGCCGGCTGAATTGGAATGCTACTCTCTAACTTATAATTCAGGTAGATAAATGTATGAATTACAAAGTTTTTAAGTGTTCCTATATAGTGTGAAACAAAAGAAATCCTTATTTTATTCTCTACTCTTTTTTTAAAGGTTTCTCTATATATAAGTGTATTTTTTAATCTAAATTTTTTATTATTTTTTGTTGGAAATACATATCAAGAAAAGCTAGCTAGTTTCTATGGTAATGTTTACTTTTCAGTTTGCAGAAGTGCTTTTTATTGATAAAATAATTCAACTATATTTCAAGTCCCAATATTTGTGAAACTCAAGTTATGATTTATAATCTAGTGCTTACTGATTTGTTGAAACAGTAAAAAGAAACTTATTTGGTGCAGACGTGCAGTGATATTTATGCAAGTGCTTATATTAACTTTTAATAGGACTCAATAATTCCTATGTGAAGAATAAACATACTTATATTTTTAAATTCTTTTCATGTTTCAATCCAATTTTCAACTTCTTTTAATTTTTTATTTATTGAAGACATTAAATAAATACTAAGTACTAACATCAAGTCTTTTCAGAGTATCACCCATCGTTTCCCTGCTCCTATTAGTATTCAGGTTGGTGGGGTTATTTTTTGGATTGAAATACAAAACATGGAGAAATTAGTTTTGATGTTTATCTTTTGTTGACGTGGTATCATTGTTCAAATTTTTTAATTAGTGAATATATTTAATTAATTTTCAAGCTCTTACATCAGTTTTGTGCACATTAATGTGTTGAAAAATAAATTCAAAATCCTTTTATACAGTGAGGTATGTGTAAATGCTTATATTAATTACACAGGCCGCAAATCTTCCAGTAAAAACACATTTTTTGAGAATTTGCTTCACTTTCCTTTGAAGACAATTGAAACAACTCTTTTTGGAGGTTGGTTTTTTAAGATTTCTACTCATCTGTTGCTTCGGTTAATCGGTTTTATTGACCTTGACAGCTTGTTAACGTCACTTGATTAATCACTTTTGGTGAGTTTTTTCGGATGGCATAAACTAGTATTGATTGCCACTGATCGTATTTTTTTGCCGGTCCGCTTGAGTATTTTTTACATCACTAACTCGGTGTCTCAGTGGGACAATCCTGAGAATTGGGAAGCCCAAAACTATTTGTTTGAGGCCATACTGTTAACTGAATACTGAAGCCAAATGTAACATCTTTTTTGTGAACCAAATCAAGTACCATTCCTTGCTCTGTTGGCGTGTCACAATTATGTGTATACAATAGTTCAAATGCTTACATTCAGTCTGAGAAAGACAACCTCTAATGGCACTTTTTAACAAATACCTCAAATTGCAATATCATATTTTCAATTATTGAATTCACCTATATGTAGTGGCAAGGCTTAGAGTGTCAATCAAGCTCACTGGAAAGTTCCAACATTTGACAGATATTCAAATCTGATGCCCCAGACCACTAAAATTGGAAATAGAAAGAAAGAAAATAAAACAGTCTCAGATCTGGGAAAATTATAGGAGGCTGTCAAGTTTTACTTTCAAGTCTTCAATCGAGACCATATTCACGATGTTTAGTATATCCTCTGGTGAATACTCTTTTTTGAGCAGTGACAATACTTGAGAATGTGCTTCGATAATATTTGTCCTGCAAAGAATAGAAACAACACCGCCCAAGCCCACTAAAATCTCCATAGAAAGATGCAAGCAAAACATCTTTTTTTACTGAACCCAGATTGCTAGGAGGAATGAAATTACGATCGAAACATAAATCTTACTTTATTGGTTTGAAAAGTATTGATCGAGTAGATGGGTTCTGTAGATAAAGCTTCATTCTTGCCAACACCATAGGCAAATCTTGATCAGTTGCTGCATTCACCTGGTTAAGAAGATAGAAGGTAAGAATCTATACCGTTTCTTGAGGGATCAATGGGATAAATAATTGAAATAAAATTAATGGAGTAGGGAAATAAGGATATATGTACCTTTCGAAGAATTTCGGCAATCTTTTCTGTAGAAGCAAAGGCTTGATCCTTGAGTGGCTTTGCAATAGCAGACTCAAACTTTGGATTTTGACTACCAGACGATGCAACTTTAACAGCAGTAACCTTCACATTCATTTTTTTATATCCTTAGTTAAAGATCTTTTCTTGGGCAATGAAACACGAGGCCAGATGGTAAGCATCATTTGATTGAAACTGCAGA